CCAAAATCACCACTTGGAGGCATGCCTTCTTCTGAGATTTATGTATTTTGTAGCGATTTAGGGGGCTGCACATGCCCCAGGATCAATGTGGTGTTTTTCGTGCACACGAATATGCAAGTATTAGGTATGAAGAAGAAGAAAAAAGAGGAGAATCTGTTCGAAATCTTCTAGGATAAGAGCTTGCTCACCTTGGTAATGTGCTAAGACAATGAAAGATTGAGGGCGGTGAGTAGAGCATGAGATGAGAGAACGCAACAGATGAGAGGGTCCAGACAACTGTCTGGTGCGGAAGGGGGAACATTGCATATGGCTGCAGCTCACTTTGCAATGCCCTAGTGTTGCCGTTTGCATGCACGGGAGGACCACATGCGTTATTTTTCTCGCAGGGTCTGATCTGTGGGTGGAAAAGAATTGTTCACACGATATCTGCCTGGGTTGTGTCGTTGGAGGAATTGTGCACGGAGAGGTATTGTGTTCCTATCCTGCGTAAATACGCCATGTGCAATCACTAGTTGCAGCGTACAAATCCCATGAATGAAATCCAAAATTAAAACCGTCTTACTCTGTGAATAGTTCATAGAATTCTGAGCGTATGCAAGGGGTTCAATGGAAAGAAGTACGTGGTGAGGCGATCACGCATTAAAGGCACGAGTCGGGATTGAATTGATGCGTTATTTTGTTCAAACATTAGGCAAGGGGTGCAATGAGGAACATTAGTGAGGAGAAAAAGCAAAAAGCACCATAGAAAACACTAAATTTCCCTTAGGAGGCCGGCCGTAGTACGACGGAGAGACACAGCGCTGCGAGGAGAGGGAGAACGCGAGATAGTACGTCGTACGCGAGAGGACGCAGAGACCGCGTATGCCGTGTTGGACCAGGGTGAAAATCGTGTCGAGGAAATAACCGCCTCTTTACGACCCCCTCCAAAACATGGACTCTGATACGACCCCTTTTTGTCCTCTGCACATCCGGTTTCATATCAAAAAATGCTAGTTTCAGATGTGCGAGAGGGACGCAGCGCCGCTGCCACGCAAATGCGGCTTGATCCAAATGCTAGATTCAATTCTGCTCAGATTAGGTTCTCCTTCTTTCCTTTAAAGACATTTAACCTTTGCCACATTGGCCGGAAAGTAGAACATTGAAGGAGGTACTGCCCCTACACAGTTGAACAGTCTCGCGCTCCAGTATAGCGGCGCTAACTACCCGCGATCGCGTCGCGCGCTGTGCCTAGAGCGCGCTAGTTGGAAAAATCGTCAAATGTACCCCCTATTTAAAGGACTATAACTTTCTTCATTGATAACCATTTCAGAAAGTGAAGGCAGCTTTTGAATGCACAAGACTTCTAGTTTCTAAATTGTGCTGAGCGTTTTTCTAAGCACGCCTATTCTCGAGAGTGGGAGACGTCGAGAAATTGTCGAGGAAATTGAAATTTACATGCGAGTTCCCACTCTTTGGAAGACAGTAGCTGTCTTCATTGGCAATGCTTTGAAAATCGGAGGAAAGCGTTGTAAAGTAGAAGATTTACGCTTTCTGATAGGTGCTCCAGTTGTTTCGAACGCTTTCTAGTTCGCGAGAAATCTGCGTCGAGGAAATGTCAAGGAAATTTTCGAAGCCACTCGAAAACTCTATTACTCCCTCGCCGTAGTAGGGAACTTCTTTGAACACCTTCAAAATACTTCTGTACACGTCAGTTCGATGGAGTAAATTGAAAATGATGCACTTGGCGCGGATCCATTCCGTTCTTGTATGCGCCATGCAGTGACCCCACTCGGAGTCATTGGGAAGGTGTTTTGTCCTAGTGACGACTTGCTTAAGCACACCAAAAGATATTTCCAGTATTAACTAATTAGGATAACTCTTGTGGTCATAGTGATGTCTGATCATTCCTTTATTCAAATCGCTTCCTTTCCAACCCGTTCTGATGAATGACACCTTGCGGTGGCAGGATCTGATAACTAAGTACAACACTTGTGAAACTAATGATGACAGCAAATAAGTGGCAGCAGCACCGTTGTGTCCGTTGATGAACCGTTTGATTACGACACAACGGTGCTGCTG